GCAGCGAGTGACCACCAGCCAGGCTCTGGGCTCAGCTGGACCAAAGCTCCAATCTTGTCCCAACCCCGACTGGCTAGGTGGCCTCGGAAATGCTACTCAGGTTGGGTTTCCTTCCTGGGAAAGGAAGCTCATAGAATCTATGGCTAGACTCACTCTGGCAAGAACACAAAAATGTGGGTGAAGTGCCGTACACAGCTAGGGAGGAAGGACCGCACGATGGCCAGGGAGTCCAACACACCTCGTTTCAAACCCCACGTCTGGGGAACCAGCAGTTGGCGTAATGGCTATGTCGCTGGACTCCCACGTAGTCGACCGCGGTTTGCATCCCGGACCCGGTGGCTTAAAACTCACGCCAGGCGCGTGTGCGTGCATGCCCAAGATCCCGAGAGGAGAATGGAGGAGAAGGGATTGTGGCGTAACCATCTCCCCTGGGGGGTGATTTCTCGCTTTCTGTCTCTATGTCTCTGTCTGTCTGGCGAGCGCATGCGCCCTACAGCGAAAAAAACCTCTCCAAAAAAAAAAAGAAAAACCCAGGTCTGCAGCTAACTCTGTAACACAAGCTACTGCACATGAGGCTGCTGCTGTAAGCTGCAGGATGTGGGACTCTGCAAGGTTGGTGAACATATGCCAGGTCCCTTCTGCCAGATCCATTCGGTGACAGGCTGAAAAAAAAGTTGCCTTTGAACGAACAAAAAGGATCAGGTAAACACAGGAATGCTTTATAGTGGATTATAGAACGAAAGTAATATACTTAAATGTTTGTATTTAAATTTAAATTCAAAACCACAGATATAAGGGTCTAGCAGGTGGCTTGATGGTTAAGGCACTAGACTCCCACATGGGCAACCACAGTTCAAGTCCCAAACCTAGGGGCTTGCTTTCTTATTTGAGCTCTCTGCCTCTCTCTGGTCAAATGAAAAAGTTAATAATAACAAATAAAATTAACTAAATAAATAAATCTTTTTTAAAAAGTGTATTAAATTAAATCTGGGGCACTAATAGATGGACACAATCAGAAATATAACACAGGCCTGACTGAAACTCAGGTCTAACTGAGCATGGCAGTGCACTGGCTTTGCTATTTGTTTAGCTCCTTGACCTCGGACAACCATCTAGCCACGCAGACAGTACAACACAGGTCAGAACTTCAGATCTAAGTTCTTCTGCAACACATCCAAACAGTGATGATGCAGAGGACGAATAAGTATATCATTACTTAATAATGCTATTTAAACAGAGTTCTAAAAACTGAAAGTTTGATTCAGCCCCATATGCCAAGTCTTCCAGAAAGGATAAATTAAAACTTGGATTTTTGTTTGTTTGTTTGTAGAATTATTTTATTTAACTGTATTGTTATTGTTATTATCATTTTATTATTTAATAATGAATAAATAATTTGGCTGAGGAGAGACAAAGAGACAGAGAGAGAGGGAAAGTGAGAAAGCAAGCTGCCAGGTCCAGGACTTGAACCATGATTGGCCATGTAGGAGTCTAGTGCCTTTAACCACCACGCCATCTGCTGGCCCCTGTTTGTTTTTTTAAAGTAAGAGTTTATTTGGGTACCAAAAAAGTTTGAAATCCATGAATAGTTTTTTTTCATAATATACATTTAAAAGAAATTTTCTTTTATTTTGCTATAGGGTGCATGGGCTTATGTGACAAAAAGAAAGAGGGAAAATGAGAAAGTACTCCCCACCCCATAGGGGATAGTCACTCTACAACCCCTTCTCCTCTATCCCTCCTTTTGGGATTTTGGGCATACACACACACACACACACACACACACACACACACTCGGTATATTTCTCAAGCTGCCAGGTCAGGATTTGAACTGCAAACAATGCAGTGGGATCCAGCTGCCTTAACCACCATGCCACTCTCTGTGTCTCTGGTGAGTACACATACCCTATGACAAAAACCTAAGGAAAAAATTTTAAAAATTAAATGAGTTCCTTAACAAGTATATAATTCCATTTAGAAACAACAGGTAAATGTATATGCAGACAGAAATTAAGTCACAATAATCATGTTCTAAATATTTAAGTACTACAGACATTCTGCCATGCAACATAAATCTATAACAAACAAAATCTACTCCCATGTGATTGACTTCACCTACACCAAAGTGAAGGGACATGGCTTTTGCTTTTGCAAAATGATAAAGACCGTCCTCCTTTAATACATAACAAACCTGAAAATAGTACTAACTCCAGACTTAGGAATTTAAAGTCTTAAAACAATAGCATCACTGGGACCAGCAGGTGGCATGGTGGTTAAGGTACTGGACATACCCATATGGCTGACCATGGTTTGAGTCCTGGACCTGGTGGCTTGCTTTCTCACATTCTCTCTCGCCCTCTCACTCTGTGTGTCTCTCTCTGATCAAATTAAAATAAGTAAATGAATAAATAAAATTAAATAATTCTTGAAAAAATAGTATTACTATTACTAATAAAAGCATCATAACTAATAATAAAACCAGCATAAACCCTGCATGGAAATCTACAGTGAGAGAACACAACAGAGTAAAGGGAATATTCAAATCCTATTCCCACTGCCTATTGTGTGATCACCTCTAAAATCAAAAACATTAATAGAATCCACCTCACAAGTCACTATGCCTGATCCGTCAGTACTCAGTAAGTCCTAACTGAGCTAAAAGTGCTATTATTGCGGCTGTCATTATTGTTTCATTATAATTACTGCAGTTTATAAAGAACTTTAATAAAGGACCAGCAGTTAGCCTAACGGCTATGTTGCTGGACTCCCATGTAGTCGGCCACAGTTCAAGTCCTGGACCTAGTGGCTCAAAATCACGACGGGCGTGTGTGCGTGCGTGCCCAAGATCCCAAGAAGAGAATGGAGGAGAAGGGATTGCGGCGTGGCCATCCCCCCTGGGGGGTGATTTCTCATTTTCTGTCTCTCTGTCTCTCTGGCGAGTGCACGTGCCCTATAACAAAAACCTCTACAAAAAAATAAATAAATAAATAACTTTATATGTAGTACCTTATGGCAAATTAAGTACTAGCAAAAGAAATATTAAATTTAATTTTTTTTTTTAAGAAAGATTTTTGCTATAGGGCACGTGTGCTTGCCAGAGAGACAAAGACAGAGAAACAGGAAGCAAGAAATCATTCCCTGGGGGACTGTGCCACAATCCTTTCTTCTCCATTCTCTTCTTGGGATTTTGGACACACATGCACACACACCCAGTGTGAGTTTTAAGCCACCAGGTTGAGGACTAGAACCGAAGTTGACTACATGGAACTCTAGCAATGTAACCATTATGCCAACTGCTAGTCCCAAATTTAAATTTTAATTACACCACATGTCTAGCATATGAGAAGGGATATTATTCCCATCTCCATCATCTGGCTTTTTCTGACAAATCAGAAGGCAATAGAGCCATCTATGTGACCAGAGGGGGGCAAAAGTAAGTTACAGATGAAAAAGTTATTAACAATTAACATTCGCTGAGTATGGGCCAGGCAGTTTACGCAGAATTTAAGAGGTTACCATTGTTCAATCTTGCTGTCACAAATGTTGCACCTAAGGGATTGAGTCCAACCAGATCACATAACCTTCCCAAGGTCACTGGTGACTGACTGAGACAGTCTGATTTCAGAGGACACACCTGCCCACCTTTCCATCACCCAGGACTGACTATTTTTGAAAATGAACATTTGCAAACTATTCCAATCACTTTGCTCATTAACACCGACCACCACAGAAATCACCAGAACTGTGTTCATCCTCTAAAGGAAGACACGGGCATGTATTTGCTTTGTAGGAGCCATCTTCCCTCTATACCAGCAATTCTCTTAGAACTGTTCCGAGAACCATAAAAATCATTGGAACATGCCCAGTGAGCCATACTTTTCCTTGTGCTTCTAGAATATTTATGAAAAGTGTGGGGGGAGGGCATTTTAAGACGTTTCTGGAATTAAAGGAGTTTACTTTGGAACAAAAACGTTTAAAATTCATGCACACTTTTTTCATGGTACACATTTTTTTCCATGAGCTGTTTAAGACTCCTAGTTTGTGTGTGTGTGTATGTGTGTGCGTGCGTTAAATTATCCTGTAATTCTAGGATTCCTTTGAAATATAGTATAAAATCCCATTACTTAAAGAAAAGTTATAAGCAAAGGCTCCTCACTAATACCATCATCTGGTTTAGAATTTCTAACATGCAGTTCAGAAATCCACAAATCCTCAATTATGAATACATATTTTCCTGATCTGGAAAAGTATGATGACTGCAATCATTAGATTTTTCAAAAGGCCCCGAAAATGTTAAAAAAAAAAAAAAGGTACACATTTTTTTCCATGAGCTGTTTAAGACTCCTAGTTTGTGTGTGTGTGTATGTGTGTGCGTGCGTTAAATTATCCTGTAATTCTAGGATTCCTTTGAAATATAGTATAAAATCCCATTACTTAAAGAAAAGTTATAAGCAAAGGCTCCTCACTAATACCATCATCTGGTTTAGAATTTCTAACATGCAGTTCAGAAATCCACAAATCCTCAATTATGAATACATATTTTCCTGATCTGGAAAAGTATGATGACTGCAATCATTAGATTTTTCAAAAGGCCCCGAAAATGTTAAAAAAAAAAAAAAAAAAAAAAAAAAGGCATGCATTTAGAAAAAAATCCTCCCTAAGACAAATCACATCACAATACTAATTTTAAACTCTTTGGGGTTCTCAAATGGACTATGCTCTGCTATTCAATGCCTCATGACTACATGCCAGAGATGTTAGCAAAATTCTTAAGAGACAGGATTCTGGATTAAGAAGGAGCAGACTTGCTCCAGAAGGAACTGTTCGCATGAGTGACCTTAGGGAAATCACTTAAAATTTCTGTCTTTATTTCCATGCTCTGTAAGATAATTGGGTGTTACGAGATGATTCTAGGGTGTTCTCCCCAGCTCTGGGACTCTACGACCCAACAGGACCCTGTGTGCAATAAAAAAACAAGACAAAGTGACTTGAGCACTTACATCACTAATGAGCGCCGTGCATTTTCTGGCCAGCTCCATGCTTAGGTCTTCAATAACAGGCTTCGGGAATACCTGCTAGGAACAAAAAGGAAAGGGAACGTTTTTCTCATCCTCAGTTTAAAGACCACGAGCCGTTCTGGGGTCAGTGCTTTCTCAATTACCTGGTCTTCTTCATTCTCTCCTTCCTCCATGTTTCCCTCTGTGGTTTCATCTTGTATATCCTCAAATACAGGGACCCTCATTTTTCCCTCTTCAAAATATTTATGTTTTTAAAAATCACTCGTGCCACGTCTCTTTATGTACCCCAGTGCCCTTGAGATCTTGGCGTCTCTGGGGCTCTGGTGGGAATGACCTTACCCAGGCCGCATCCTGTTTAGCTCCCACTTCACATCCTTATCTCAGTGGTGTGTGAGTGGACAGAACAGATCCCCGCGCTCTGCCAGAGCAAGCCTCTGGAGTGCAAAGGCCATTTTGTCAGGCCAAACTCTGCTTCATGAACTGCTAACATCAACATTATTTAAGACTGGTTAAGAAATCCAAAAGAAGGGAAAGCAATGGATTTATTGTTTACTAATTCGATTCATTCATAAAATAGTTTGACGAGAACATAAAGATTCTGGGAAACCTGCTCTGCTATAACACTCAAGCTATCACAGTCCAAAGCCAGTTATCTCAAAGATTCCTCAGCTCCATCTAAATAAAGCTTTCACTGGAATGTCGGCCATATCTCTAATGTGGCAGAGTGAATCTGGATCATTCAAACTCATTTCATTAACCTAAATGAAATGTTTTACAAGACATACACGTACTTCTCACATTAAAATTATCCACCTTATATTAGCTAATTAGAGGCTAGTAATTTATTATGAAAAGCCTTTTGAACCACTCAAAGAAATTATTCTGGGTTAATTATGACTGTTAACCTTATACTGGTGAGTATGGTATTGTATTAATTGTAAACATCATTAAACAAGAGAAGTTGCAGCTAACATATGTTGACATACCACTTAAGAATTCTAGAAGCCTCGCTGCTTCAAAAAATAAAAATCACCCTTTTTGAATTCTATTCATCGCATCCATTTTTACAAAACAACTAGTTATTTATATATTTCTCAATGCTTACCACACACTTGGAAAAGTTAGAAAAATAGACTATCACAATATTTATAATGTGGCATGTATCATCAGTTGTATAATTAAAAAATACATTTTTCAAAGCAAATCCTTTAATGTCGATTTAGACAATTCGAAGACTACAAAAGGACTTCAAAAAGTTGTGGAAGAATGGAATTGAAGTACAAGTTTATTTGGTGCAAAAGAAATTTTAAAACCCATGCACAGCTTTTTCATAATACTCATTTTCTATGAACTTTCTGAAGACCCCACATATACAACTCACAAGTCATTAATTTGATTTATCTTTTTAGTTTTATTATAGGACTCATGTGCTTGCCAGATAGATATAGAGGGAAAGGAGAAATCATTCTGTAGCGGGGATGGCCGCACTGCAATCTCTTCTTCAATCTCCTTGGGATTTTGGGCATGTGCACATATGTGCCCAGTGTGATTTTCAAGCCACTGGGTCGAAGACTCGAGCGGCTCAATTGGTTATGTGGGATAGAATGTCTTCACCTCCATACCACTTGCTGGCCCCTATGATTATTTAAATTCTAGGGTAAATTAACTTTTACAAAGTTATAACATATCAATGTTGGACATAAAAAAAATCCTACAGTACGGGCCCGCAGGTAGTGTGGTGGTTAAGAGTGCTGGACTTCCACATGGCCGACCATGGTTCAAGTCCTGGACCTGGCAGCTTGCTTTCTAACTTTCTCTCTTTCTCTCCCTCCCTCTCTTCCCCTCTTTACCTCCCTTTCTAGCAAAATTAAAGTAAGTAAATAAATAAATAAAGTTAAATCAAATAATTTTTAAAAAGAGTCCTATGGTGAAGAATGTGGTAGCCCTTGGGGCTGGTTTCTCATGTTCTCTCTTCGCTGTTTCTCTCTTGTCTCCAGAAAATGCATATCCCCTATGCCAAAACCTTAAAAAAAATTTTTTAAAGGTTGCCTTGACCTTATATAAGCTGAAAATTTTGAGAAGAAAAACATTCCACACAGTCATCATATAAAGATCCTTTCACAAATTGTGTCCCATGAGATGAATTTCTACAACAGACTCTGAGGAGAAACCATAGGTTTCTTAAACATACATGTTCAGGAAGTCTGTATACTTACCTCCACCCTGTCACTTGGAGATCCACATGCCATATTGATACATTAGAAGTTCTGAGAAGATCCTCAACCAAAGAACCCACTTAGGTTTGCTTAATGTAACTCTCCCAAACATGAATCCTATCCGTCTAATCTAACCTAAAGCTACATGTCTATCTTTGTTTTTGAATGATACTCACTATCCCAGAAAACTAACATTTGTCTATAAAATATTATGTATTACTTAGGAATTTTTTTTTCCTAACAAACTGTATTTTAAAGTAAAAGAGTCATTCGTCTTATTGTGCAACAGTTGTTGATCCAGGCTAAATTAATGGTATCACAAGTCCTGATGATTAGCAAAATGCCTAAAAGAAATTGCCCCAACGGTGCTGAATTTATAAATTCTATCTTTAAGGTAAAAGCTACGCCATCCATGCCCACTGTAGCAGTTTCTGCACAGAAGTTCTTTGTACATCATATTTGTCCCCAAAAAGGGGAAGACTGTGTGGACTCTGTGTCTCTCTCAAGTCTTCTGCCAGGGCCAGCCCTATGATCTAATAGTTAAAAGAGCCAGCTCTCATATGGCCAACCAGGCGTTTTGAATCACAGCCCCAGCAGCTTGAAAAACGCACCAGTTGTGTGTGTGTGCATGCCCCCAAATCCAACAGCATGGAAAAATGCAGGAGAAGGGACTGTGGTCAGACCATGCCACTCTGAGGCGGGTGCTTTCTTCCTCTCTCTCTCTCCCAGACTCTCTGTCTCCTTCTGGCAAGCGCAAGCACACATTGGCAAATGATAAACACGACATACAAAAACAAAAAAAAAAATTTAAAAGTCTTCTGTCAAAAGGTAATTCTAATATTCCATGGAAGACCTGTTACATTATATTTATTTGGAAATGAGGAGGGGCAACTTCTATCAATGTTTCTTGCAAACTTGTAGAACTGTGGGGAGAAAAATCTACCCCGAACAGCCTGAGGCAAACTTTTTTTTTTTTTGGAGAGATTTTTGCTATAGGGTGCGTGGGCTCGCCAGACAGAGAGAGAGAGACATAGAGACAGAAAGTGAGAAATCACCCCCCAGGGGGGATGGTCACGCCGCAATCCCTTCTTCTCCATTCTCCTCTCGGGATTTGGGGCACGCACGCACATGTGCCCGGCGTGAGTTTTAAGCCACCGGGTCTGGGACTCGAACCACGGTCAACTACGTGGGAGTCCAGCGACAGCCATTACGCTAACTGCTGGTTCCCTAGGCACACTTCTTGCCTCAAATGCGAGGTGACAATACTTGTACTGTTCATGGGAACATCTAGTCCCCCATGGTAAATGGCCTTCAACGGGCTCAAGTGGCAGCTATTTTTTCATTTCCCATCATGTCGTAAGTTCTGATTAACTTTCCAGTTAATGCAGAAAAGTTCTGAAAGCAAAACCAACCACCACTAAACACCATATGCAATGTAAACACACACTTTCCATTTCAGATGTTAGAACCGAAAGTCTTAAGGGATCCTAAACAAATTAATATTAGGCCAGGTCTATCACGGAGAATAATGCACTGCTAAGAGAAGCTGGATCCCACATGGCAACTGCAGCTCCAATCTGCTGTCTGGCCAGCCTAAAACATGCTGGGCACAGGTGATTGCCCAAGATCTGACAGGCTGGAGAAATGAGGGAAGACGCTCATAAAGTAATCAGAGTCTATGGAATAAGCTTCTCTCTCTGTCCCCCTCTCTCTCCTTCTCTTTTGCATGCGCATGAAAAAAAGAAATAAATTAATATATCTAAAGCTCTCTCTTTTACAAAGGATAAAATGAAGGCTAAGAGAAATTATCTTATTTGCAAGGTGAGATGATGAAGTACAAGGATCAGAACCTAACTAGAACAGATTCCTTTATTTAACAAATAAGTGTTGTTACGCTCAGTATTATGTTTGGTGTTAGAGATACAACGTGAATAAAACATACTTTGTGCTAACAGAAAGAAAAAAATAAAAAGCCCAACATTTAAGACTTGTTGAAGAAACTCTTTTATTTTTTTAATTTGTCACAGGGCACATGTACTCCTCTGGAGAGAGACAGAGGAAAGAGAGAGAAGGAAAGGGAGAAACTGAAGTAGGAGAAAGCTAGCAAATGGAAGCTGCTCAGGGGCTGGAGCATTTGCCCATGTCACTCAATAGAGAAACCAGATCAGGGCAGATAATTCCCTACCCAAGGTAATACAGGTAGGAGATTAGCAGTGTATGTCCAGCTGATTAAGCAACATTTGATATAGCCAATGAGATGACTCAGTGGGCCCAGCCACATTTGGTAGAGCCAATGGGATGAGAACAATTAATGGGCCTGGCCAATGATCAATGAACATGGCCTAGATTAAGAATGATAAACCTCGCAGAAGTAACTGCCGGCCCCTTTTGAGCCACGCCCTGTCCTCTCAGGCCCATTTCTACCTCTCACTTTCACTTCCACTTAATAAACTACCATTTCCTTTCACTATTGGCATGTTTCATTCAGTTCTTTGTCCAAAACACTGAGAAACTAGATATCATCATAGAAGCCATCCACAAAAAAGGCATCCCCAAGCGGGGACAGCACGGTCATATCCCCTCTCCTCCCAGGATTTTGGGCACACATATACACGCACCTGGTATGTTTTCAAGCTGCGGGGTCCAGACTGGAAATGCACAGTTGGCCATTTGGGATCCAGCTGCCTTAACCTCCACACCACCAGCTGGCCCCTGGGGGAACTCTTTAACAGATGGTTTGGCACGTTCAATACACCATTGTTTTTTATTGGATGTATCTCTTTTTCCTTTCACCTATGAGTATAATATAAAATTCATGCAAGGTTTTTTCTGAAAAATTTTAGACCCTGAACTTCATTGCAGCAAAGCTCTCTTGTCCATAGCTCTAAAATATGACTTGGGGAATAATAATAAAGGGTTCTTCATGAATAGCTGTCATGTTTTTAAATTCCCTATCGTCCTTTACAAAGACAGTCTCATGTCATATTTTAATACATATTTTCTACTTGTAGTGCCCCAATAGGGAATATCTATGTAGGTGCTAATCTCTTTTACCTATGGAGCACTTCGTTAATGTTGTCTGTTTTTTCACTTTAGTGCTCTACTCCTGCCTTGCTGCAAAACGAATGAGACTGGAGAT